TGTGAAGAAATCACAGACCTGAGCATGCTTTACCTTCAGCCTATACTTTGGCCTTGTTAGAAAACGATGATGTGTGATTTGGTTGTCAAAAACTTGAGGGCAGAGAGGGAGAAAATGAGAAAGATATGTTTTCCCCTAGTGGCTAAAAGTCTCTGTTTTCCTAGCACATGGGATGTTTTGCAACGTTCCAAGGGGGTCTCTGCAGGGGCTCCTCAGGCCTAGGCTTAAAGGTTTTGGGGAGAGCCAGTAGATGCTAGGGAGCCCTGGGGAGAGAGAGCTTGGGCCTCTGCTGGCTTCTGTGCATGCTCAGACACCTTTTTGCCCAGCTCACAAGCTTTACACTTTGATGCACAACATGAGCCTGACTCACAGGGAAGTGTGAGCCCAGAGAAAGGGTTTCCCAAGGGAAGCACCCTTGGCTGCAGGAGGAGGGAATGAGGTGCCATGTGCCCAAGGCTGACAATCATCCCAGGAAGAGGGTGTCATGTGATCATTCCAACCCAAGTCACCGGGAATTGCTCATACAAAGCAGGAGTGCTCCCTGCCCCCATCTGAAGAGAAGGTTATTTAGAAGGGACAAAACTACTTCGGGGAGATAAAAAAAAATCTCTGGATGCTGGAAAAAGCTGGGTCTGGAGCTAAGGTCTTACATACTCTGGAGACTCTGAGTTGGATCCCAGCACTGCATAAGGATCCTGGTAGTATCCTGGGGTGTCCTGTGCACCCCGAACCTAAACAATGCTACTCTGACAGGTCAAGCCCTGAATTTTCAGGCCCACATAGTTGGGCTGAGCATCCCTAAAGTATTCTGGGGAGATGTGCATGTGAGCACACACACATGCACACACACAAAGGCACACATGCACACCCACCCACCCATACACACACACACACACACAGAGGCACACACGCATACTCATCCACCCATACACACACACACACACACACACACACACACGCACGCACGCACACAGAGTAACAGAGTTCTGGCAGTGGAGGTTGAGGCTGGCTGCACAAGTCAATGAAGGAATTTAAGGCCCCAGAATTGTGCACCTGAAAACATTGACTGTGGTAAACTGTGTTTCCCACCACACCTAAATGAAAAATGCAGTGCCCTCTGCTCCCTGCCTATTCCTCCCCTGGCCCACATGGCCCATGGCCCGGTTTCCTCCCTGCACAGACACACTGACGCCTACCAGCCGGGGGGCAGTTCACTGGACTCCAGTGGGCCGTGCCCTTTGCTCCAGGCCCAGGGGTTCCCCTTTCACACTCAGAGATAACCAGATGGAGCAGCCCAGACTGTACTCAGGAAGCTTTTCCAGGGGAATGAAGCACCATCATCCATGCACCAGTTCCCAGCAGAAGGGCCTGAGCCAAACTGCCTGCACCTCCCCCGGCCCCTCCCGAGGCTCATAATGCCCTTGAGTGACACTATGGAGCACAGACTTTGGTGCCTAGGACAGGTGCATGCCCTGGAGGCTCCAGCCTGGGATCTGCCACAGAAAGGCTGCCCGGCCCTGGGGAGATGGGGTGGGCACAAGACAGAGGGATGGGCCACAGTCCGATGGGCCACAGTCCATGGCACCAGGTGGAGGCAGGAGACAGGTTTCTAGCCTCAGCAAGTTATTTCTGTTGGGGTGATCATCCCCACCACAGCCTGGCCCCAAGTTTCCACTTCACCCAACTCCCCTCTCTTTGCAGAGAGCCTGCGGAAATGTGGCAGAGATGGCCAGACACCATGAATAGCTGTGCATTTCCCAGATTTCTGTCTTGCGCTGGGCTGCAGATAAGAAAGAACACAATCTGCAAGCTTCACAGCCTTGGGCACCTGGAAGGCGTGTGGTCCTGCTTGCTCCTCAGGTCCAGGACATGCAGCCCACACCCTACTTGAGCTGTACCCTGGTCTGAGCAAGCCAGTGTTGGGATGGGTAGCAGAAAGAAATTTCTAGACAATACAATCCCTGGATTTGCTCGAGCGGGCCCAGTAACGTCTCCATTGGAGACTTTGTTGTTACTGTGTTTGGCATATCGAATATGTCACAGGGAGCTTGCCAGGCTGCTGTGCGGGCGAGATACTCTCGGTAGCTTGCCGGGCTCTCCAAGAGGGGCGGAGGAATCGAACTCGGGTCGGCCATGTTGGCTGCGTGCAAGGCAAACGCACTACCGCTGTGCTATCGCTCCAGCCCTGGAATGAGCTCTTTAAGAAAAGCTATTTCTTTTAGGTATTATTGGGGGAGGGGGGCGGTGTAGGGTGAGCGGCTGGTAATTTGGGCCACACCTGGAGGTGCTCAGGGGCTATTATCAGCTCTGTGCTCAGAAGTAGCCCCAGTGGAGCTCAGGAAAGCTTATTTGTTGCTGGGAATAGAATGGTGTTGGCCAGCGGGTATGGCGTTTGCCTTGCATATGGTCGACTGGGGTCCAATTCCCAGCATTCCCTATGGTCCCTGGAGCACCGCCAGGAGTAACCCCTGTGTACCACTGGGTGTGGCCCAGGAAGAACAAAAAAAATAGAAAGAGGTTGGCCGAGGGCAAGGAAGAGTGAGTGCTCTATTATCGCCCCAGCCTCACAGAGGGCTATTCTGCTCATAGTGCAATAGTTTCATCAAGAGGTCTGGAGCAGGAACAAACTCTACAAACCTAGAACTTTTCTAAAAATGCTTCTTTTCTGAAGCATTTTTAAAGGCCCAGAATGCTGATGTTTAACCAGAGAGAGGGAGTTTGTTTCCATTTGTGTCTGAGAGTGAAACATAGGTATTAAATATGCCTGCATATTTTATACATATTACTATGAGTAGGTGACCCAAACTACAACAAGGAATTTAAAAAAAAAGACGAGTTTTCTAGGGGGGTGGTAGGGGAAAAGGAAGGGGACCTTGAATCATTGGTGGAGGAATGTTGACACTTGGTAACTTTGAAGTTAAAAGAGTGAAAGCTTGAAATTCTGCTATCAACACCTTTGTAAGGCATGGTGAATGCATTTACAAATTAATAAAAAAAATCTATGACAGGCAAAACAAAATTTTAATAGGAATTTCTGGAGGGCATTTTGGGGCACTCTCTCTCAAGATGAAACATGAACATTTTTGCTTCTAGGATTGCATCCCGAAGATAAGCTTGCACAGGGACACGCAGATGTCTGCAGAAAGATGTTTACCAGAGTTCTTGGAAGAACCAAGTTTAGAAAGGAATGAACAGCCCTGTGCAGGCCAGAGCACTCTCTCCTGGGGAAATGGAGGCAGCTGTGGAGAAATTTATGTGTCCAGGGTCAGGCCCAACCCCTGCTAGAACCTGGCATACACACGGGATGGGAAAGGCCTTGTCTGTCTAGGCAAATCTATGAGGCACTGTGCTCTGTTTGCATACGAAGAAAAAGAAATGTTTCAGGGTATGTGTTCCCTGAAGGAGGATGAGGCCAGGCTGTCCTCAGGGCACTTCTGGCACCTGCCTGTTCTGGAAGTGTGCAAGGGAGGCTGCTGGAAGGAAGGGCCTCACTTTCCCTCTTTGGGATCTTGTAGATCAGAGTTCTCTACCTGAGTAGGAATTTCTCTTATAGTGCTGTTAAAAAAAAAAAAAGCTTTGAAGGCTCTGGTTTCTCTCTTCCTCCAGACATGTTCCCCTGACAGCTGCATCTCGTTCTGGGTGGGAGATGCTGTCCCCAGCTGACCGAGACACACAGTGTTTGCTTGTGCAGGAAAGGGCCCCACAGAACAACAGGGCCTCGCTGCCCGGAGCCCCGGGAACTGCGTGGATTGTGTGCTGATTTCCTCCGGCCTGTCCTTTCCTAGGCTGGCTTCCGGGAAACCCAGACTGACTCCAGGGTGCTCTGTGGCCCAGCGGTACTACCATCCCTTGATCCTTAAATCTTCTATGGTGAGCCTGCCCCACACCATTGGACTCAAAGAACAGGCTTCCCTGAGGATCACCTACGTGCAGCTTTTCTTTCTTTGTATTGGGCCACACCCGGCAGTGCTCAGGGCTCACTCCTGGCTCTGTGCTCAGGGATCACTTCTGGCCAGGCACAAGGGACCGGGGGGTGCACTGGAAATTAAACCTGGGCCAGCTCTATGCACGGCAAGCAAGCACCCCGCCCATTGTACTGTCTTCCTGGCCCCGTCTTTATTCTTTTTCTTTATTGAAGGTGGAAATCTTTTCCTTTTGGTTTTTAGGCCACAGTCTTCAGTTCAGGAGTTACTCCTGGCTGCCTCGAGCGACTATATGTTGTGCAGGGACTGAGCCCAGTTGACTGTGTACAAGGGAAACACTTGGGCTTTTTGCCTTGTGTGTGGCCAGCCCGGCTGAGCCGGGTTCGATTCCTCAGCCCCTCTCAGAGAGCCCGCAAGCTACCAAGCTACCAAGAGTATCTTGCCCTCACAGCAAAGCCTGGCAAGCTACCTGTAACGTATTCAATATGCCAAACACAGTAACAACAAGTCTCACAATGGAGACATTACTGGGCCTGCTCAAGCAAATCGATGAACAACAGGAGAACGGTGCTACAATGCAGCACTACTGTGTCCAACCACCTGTTTTTTTTAAAGATGAAGCAAATGAAAAAGGTTGGCGATATCTTTCATTAACTTCCTCATATCTTTGGGCCAGACATTCAGAATGTGGTCCCTGTGTCAACGCTATTGTACCCCCTTTTTCTCAGGTGGTAGCTGCCTGCTCTAGTCACCCCAAATTTGTGACTAAATCTATAGGCACTAGTGCATGTGTGAGATTAAAATGTGACTAAGAATGCTGATGAAAGACTCCTGAAACCGTGGTCTTTATTGAAAGCGAGTTTGTGCTGTTCCAGGTAACGTTAAAGATAGTTTCTTCTCCCCACGCCCCCCTCGCCACTTTGGCAGGTCATGAGTTTGGGTATTGACGTCTTTGCAAACGTGGGTGGTAAATTTGGCCAACGTGGGTGATGGATTCAAAGCTGTACGCACGCGCTCCCCAGAAGGGGATCCCCCTGCCCCGCGCTGCAGTGCACGCAGCCCCGTGGGCGCACTCACCTCCGGTGTGTAAGGAAGCTGCCGCTGACGTGTCCCGAGCCATCGCATCCCGGCGTGGGGCATGACATGCCCTCCGTCTTGACCGACTTCCAGGAGAACTGCGAGCCATTGAGGTACCCATCCTTTTGCCTCTTGGCCGCCAACGGGCACCCCGACGCGCTGCGGTGGGAGGCATACTTCCCGGTGATGTGGCCCTGGCCGTCACAGCCCGGCACGGGACATCTGGGCGGCAGACAAAGGAAATGCACTTTATGATGGTGCCATCAGGAGTATACCTGGCGACTCTAAATCAAGTCCCACGCCCCACCACCGCGCGCTATGCGCACAAAAGGAGAGGACGGCAGAGCGCAGTCGCACGTCGCCACCCGGTGGTACGATGGAGCAGTTCACCCTCCGGAACGCGGCAAGAGGCAGAGACTGTGGAAAAGATCCCACTTTGGGCATGGAAAATCATAGCCTTCATGGTGGAAAACTGTAAAGTCGGCGGGAAATCGCGGGTTTATTTTTTAAAAGGTGATTCTAGACACCTGTATTCTCTCCAAGCGCCAGAGAGCATTTGCTTCGTGGTATTCTCCAGAGGACAAACCTCAGTGTCAGAGAGGATTTCAAGCCCCAGAGATCAATATTTAACTAAAACTTCTGGAATGGTGTACAAACTTCACCAACAGGACAGTTTTCTTTTGTTATTTTTGTGTGAAAATATGTTATGTGTGTATATATATTTATTTATTGGTTATGGGCCACACTTGGTGATGCTCAGGGGTTACTCCTGGCTCTGTGCTCAGGAATTACTCCTGGTGGGGGGTCTGGTGACCATATGGGATGCCGAGGAATGAACCGGGATTGGCTGTGTTCAAGGCAAGCGCCCTACCCCCTGTAGACTGGTTAGGGTGGGCTGATGTTCTTCCTGCAGGAAATACAGGCGTCAGACTATCTTCAGGGGAGGCTGAACACAACTGATTTTTATTCGTACATAACCGAGGCAGCAAAATGTGCACTTCTTTTGCTGTGAGGGCTAAAACTACCATGAATCTGCCTTTTCCAGTGCCTGGAACTATGCTCAGTAGAGGGTGCTTAGATAGGGATGCAGAGAGCAGTCTCTTATGATTCTGGCTACTCACGGGCTTCAACAACTGTAGCATGAGAGATGATGTTTTTCAATTTGCAGATATGCTGGGTTTGGGTTTAAAATTGACTTAGTTTTGGTCACACAGGACAGTGCTCAGGGCTTATTTCTTGCTCTGCTCTCAGGGATCACTCCTGGTAGGCTGGACTTGGGGAACCCTATGGGATACCAAGGATCTAACCAGGAATGGCCATGTTTCAAGGCAAATAAATACCCTACCTTCTGTACTCTCTCTCTCTTTTTGCATTTAAACCTGTCACTGCAATTGGGTGGCTTCTTAAGGAATGCCCATGCAGGCCTCTGCACCCCTTCGCTGACACGCACCACCTCAGGGTGCTGCCCTGCCCACAGCCCCGCTGGGCTCCCACATGCTCGCGCACCTGATTGGCTCCTGGTCTTCTTTATCTTCTTTGCTCTGTGCTATCCGGATGCCACTTTTCTTAGCTCTCGGGCAACCTGAAAGGCTAAAGCAGAAGCGTCTATTCAGAAAGAATCCCACACTTAATTAATTCTGAGAGCTTCCTTCACAAATGGCACTTTTTGAAAAGAATTTTTTTTAAATGTCATTTAAAAAAATCATCCCAGTTCTGATAACATGGTTCCAATAGTGTTAATAACGTGTGTGGTGTAGTTGTACAGGTATAGCACCATGCCGCTACCGAAGTGTCCAGGGCCTTCCAGTTCGGTTCTGAAATGATTTCTAGCCCACTTCTTCCTTCTCTCCACCTCCTTCCCTCGCTGCTTGGCAATCTCAGTTTGTAATTCAAGGCCAATGGCACACACAGGTCTTTGATGGAATTCTCTGCAGAAGCCGGTGCTTCATGGCATGGAAACAAAATCCATAGCATCCCGGTCAAAGCCTTTGCAAGGGAACTAGACAGGCCTGCAGGCAAGGAGCAGAGAGCAGCCTCTGGGAGCTTGGGCAGCCAGGTGTTACTGGCTGAAAAGGAGCCGAGAAAGGGAAGCTGGGGGCACTCTAAGAACCACGCACCTGCAAGTTCTCTTTCCTGGCACTGGTTTCTGAGAGCCTGGGCTCCTGCATTCTGTCCAGGAGTATGGTCCATTCCCAAATGCACGAAGTGTGTGGCTTCTGACTATCTCTGCTGCATGAATGCTGGCAGTCAAACATGTTTGTTTTATTTTATTTTCAGAGTTTTGGGTAACAGATGTCCAGCTCTACCTGAAGGCAAACTTCCCATGGGAATAGAAAAATACTCATTGATCTATTTTCTGTCCACAATAGACCAGCCTCGAGCCATTATATATGCAGGTGTCTCATAGAACATACAAAAGGTACAGAATTCTTGGTCCTGAATTTGAGATGTTTTCTTCGATGCCTTGACTCATGGAGACCTCCACCGTGAACCAAATCCTGAATTCATGCCAGCTCCAGCTGCTCATCGTCCGCTCCCCAAGCTTGGGGGGAATGTTTTTTCTGGTGAGTTCTGATTTTTTTCCCAAGCATGCTGATTCCCAGTCAGGGAAGGGCATGATCCTCTCCCATCACCCTTCACTCATCCACTCGTTTCCTCAGAACTTTCTGACTGTGCTATGGGCTGAACTGGCTGTTCCTGAGAAAAAGCAGTGTCCATAGGCAGAGAAGGGTGAGGGGGTCTCCAGGACCTGCCAAGGCACTGGGATGCCAATATAGAAACTCGCTTTCCTGTCTTGATTCCATCAGTACCAGTCGCCCATGGCCAATGGCCTGTTTCTCTCTGCTGCTCCTCCATCTCTTCCATTTACTGCAAAACAGAGGGGAGGCTGACCTCTCTCCACCTGCTTCCTTTCTCTCCCAGCTCTTCTTTACTATGAATTTGCCAAGCAGCATCTGTACTTTCTACCACTTACACTACCGCCTGTCCAGCTGTCCGGTTCTTGATTCCAGAAGGCTCCATCCTGGGTACTGTGGTCACTGTGATGCTTTGCCATGGATGGATGCTCCTGGTTCCTGTGCAGTGTGACCATCGGTGGCTCTTCAGCTCTTGTCCACAGCTGCCTCTAGTCTTCCACATGCCTCCACAGCTCTTGTGGCTGAGAAAGCCTTTGTGCTTTCTCATGCAGTCGGGCTACTCTGCCCATCCGATTCTCCCATGGGTGGCTTCCTTCCCAGCCTACGGTGCTGTGGCCAAGCTCAAGCTTGTAGACTTGACTCTAGCCCGAGTTCCTCCATGTCCTCTGCTACCAACGCACTGACCTTGACCATGTCCATGCTCAAAGGTCTGACACCGGGCACTCCATGCTATCAATCTGCCCAGATTCAGGCCCTCTGGTCTTGCTTGCAGCTGCACTGGTGATTTCATTCTACTTGTGGATTTTCACATGTGAAGGAAATGAGTGCATTTTTCTCACCCACCCACTGCACTTTAAGAATAGTGGAGTGGAGCCCTGATCAACATTTAGAAACTTTTTATGCCTGAGACATAGAAATGAAACCCATCTTATGATACCAAACCAACCCCCGCCTGGAGCCCTCTGACAGAATTCCAGGCTCAGAACCATCTGGCAGTCGGCAGGCAGGAGCAGTGCGGGAGAAAAAGGCTTCAGATGTGGTGTCGGGCACCGTGAGGTGGGGTTTCTGTGCCGTCTGCTCTGTAGATCTGCTTCCTTTCCTATGTCCCAGCGTGCGGGGGTTGGGGGGGGGAGACCTATGTCCTCCAGTCCAGTACCAGGGAGGATGATTCAGAACCAGGACACAAACACCTCTGGCTTCTTCATCTTCCTTCCTACTTGGTCTCTATTTGCGATTTCTCCTTTAGGAGCCAAAGGACAACATGATAAGGTCACTCAGTCACTTTCTACTTCTGCTAGACCTCAAATGCCCCCGTCAGTGGATTCACAAATGGTTCTTCTTCTCTCTTGAGTTCCAAGACTGGCTTAGGAGAATTCTTAGCTTTTGAGCCCAGTTTCCATTTTGTAAAATGTGTGACTCCTGTCCCCACCACTTCACTTTTCCCTGCGTTCCAATGGCTCAGGCATGAGTGATTCTAACACTGTGTCTCCTGCCACCCCTCTCCTCCTGGGCTTTGCTGAATGTAAATTAATGCATTTAAACTTACAACTTCTGTCTGGTCAGCTTCTGGATCTCAAAGAACGTCACTATTCATCCAACTGTGTAGCTCAGGAATTTTCACTCCCTGGGCCTTCCTACCTTTGCCTCTGCACCTTTGAGTCTGTCCTGTTTCTTTGCAAAGAGCAGCACCTCCCTGGCCACCTAGTTCCTTCCCCACTGCTTTCACTCACCCACCCCAAATCATCTCCTGGATCTCACCCTACCCTCCCAAGTGAGCTTTAAATGCCACTCACACACATCTCTTAGCACTTTATGTTGCTAGTCACTCCATTTTTTGGAGGAGAGGGGTCCCTGTGGTCTAGAGAGTTTAGTTTATATCCTTTATCATGAATTCAGCAGATTCCTCAATCCAAGTTCTATTTAAAGACTCTGGCATGCACTTATACCCCCAACTCCAGTGGCACTGAGCTATTCACATTTTGTCAAATGCACTTTGATTTGGGAGTTGTTGCCATATTCTAATGCTGCTCCTTTGCTTGGGGAATCCTTCTCCCTGATAACTTCCCCTACTCATAATTTGGTCAGTTAGTATTTAGTAAATTTACCAGGCTTCTAGGGTTCTGGGATGACAAGGATTGTATTCTACTGATGAACATTTTTCTAGACAGAAGATACATCACCCAAAAGATGTGATCACTAATATAATATAGGGGCTCACTGTATATTTACTTGGTATTTTATACATTTTGGAAACATGGCCAACAGTTTTAGAATTCTTGAATTCTCTAGGGAGGAAAGGCTAGGGTCTTGGGTGATGGACAGTCTTAGATGAAATGGCCTGAACAGCAGGAAGCCAACACTCTGGGCTAGAGGGCAGTGAGTTCTGTGCCCTCCAGACCAAAAATGGAACAATTTCGTCACCACAGCTGGATCTCTAGGGTAGAAAAACTTTGTGTCTCTGTCCTTTGGAATAAATTGACGTGTAGCCCTTGTAAAAGCTGAGATTGTCAATGATAATCTTTTGCAAAAACCTTTGCATGCTTGTTTTGATTCCTAAAGTATACTGGAACTGAGTAGGAGCTCTAGATGCTGGTTTCATCCTGGGAGTTTATGCCATCTACGATTATAGGAGAGTGAAACAGATATATCACAGGAGAAATGGGACTTGCATGTGTGTGGGTGATGTTGGATTTCTGTGCTGTTTCCTCATGTGCAATTAGAATAAAATTCATCTTGTCATAGGAGAGTGAGATCCTACAGGGTGCAAGCTAATTACAGTTCTGGGCTCATATGTGGTTTTTGCTATTACAGAACATTCTGGAATCCTACAGGCACAGTCACTCTGTTTGATAGCTACAGTGTGCCTGTAGGAATCAGATTCTTATAAGACTCTGGAGAAAACACAAGACTTTCTTCTGCACTCGTGCACTTTGGAGCACCAGCGAGTTTATCACATCCCTGAAGGGTCTCTGAGACAGGGCAGAAGAATTCTGAGAGTTCTGTGTGTAGGACTAAGGGGTCCTGTACCCACACATATGAACTTCTGGAAAAAGCCAACCTGGGTGAAGGGTCAGAGAAAAGCTTGAAGAGAACCTCAGAAAAAAAGATCTTTGAAGAAAAGGTGAAGAAGTGAATTTTGTTCTGTTTGTTTTGATTTTGGAATCACAACTTGCGATATTCAGGGGCTTTCTCCTGCTTGATGTTTGGGGATCACTCCCAACAGTTCTCAGAATATCATGTGGTGCTGGGGATCAAAACCCAGGGTTTCCACATGCAAAACATGCAATCCAGTCCTTTGAGCTATCTCCTTGGCCTTGAAGAAACAGACGTTTAAAAATTTGTTGTCTGTGGAAGAACAATGCTGAACACTTGACAAAGATTTTTCTATGTCCTCTGGCAAGGAAGGTTAAAGCATTTGATAGAGAGGGCTTTAAAAATTGACCATCACAGCTATTCAATTGATGTATTTGTTAAAGTAAATTTAGGAAAGATCCAGAGATGATCTAGAGACTGAAATGCATAGCACCATCAAAACCAATACAGAAATATGATTCAGACGTTAGGATGGTAAGCATGCCCTGTATTCCCAAGGGAGCTCATTCTGGGGACGTGATGAAACATGGGAATAGAGGCTGATGCAGTTCCTATTCTTCACTATCACCACTCAGAGTCTCACATTTATAGGGCACAGAAGGATTGAGGTTAGCTAGTGCACTGGGGGTTTTCAGGGCCTGTAGGGGAAGGTACACTGGATAGAGCTCAGGACAGAGCCCAGGAGAAAGTTGAAGCTGGTATCCACACTGCCCTGGACTGGAAGATTAGGGAGGAGTGAGCATCTTGGTGTGAGACAGAGTTCAGCATGTGCATTTAGTTTGAGAGGAGGGATAAGCTTCCAAGATGCTCCATGTTCCAGATGGCTGCTCCAGGCGAATCAAACCACTTAAATTGTGAGGGTCCTAGTTCTATGGCCACTCCCACAATTCACAGGAGCCATAATAATGCTGAAAACACATCTCTGACTTGAACTGTGGCACAAATGTCAAACAAAAATGCAAAAGGACCATCATTTATGTAGTTTTCTCTGTAGTAGCACAGAAGTAATAGCATCGTGTTTTCTGGGGAATGGACCACAAAGCTTAGCCCAGAAAAAAGGCCTCTTTGTACCCATTGGCATCAGAACCAACAGACCAGGAGAAGATAGTTTCTTCCACCTCAGCATCAATCTCTCTTTGGTGTCTGTTTACATAAGAACATAGAACTCTTGCACTCTACCGTGTTCAGCCTTGTCCTAACTAGGTCTGTGCAAGGGGTCTGTTATTATTGGGATAAGTGACATTGCCCGTGTGAAACCTCACAGGACTCGAGATGGAGCTCCAATTTGATGACACTGAATCCAATTTACTTTTCAACTTGATGAACCAGCCCTGGTTATTATTTATCCCAGGCATAGACTGTGGTTTCATTTAAGCTGATGTCATATTTTATTCGAAAGTTTGTGACCTCTTAAGACACAAGTTTAATAATATAAATTAAATTTTAAACTAAAGTAAAACTAAATTTCTATAATGTCATACTTTCCAAGAAAACCATTTGGGAAGCAGATCATCCTTAGTTGTGCTGATTATTATAAATGATGGGTTGTGCCCAGGCAAGGCTGAGACATTTTCTTTCCAAGGTTACTTACAATTAAGAGTGCTAGGGCCTGAGATATAGTTCAAAGGTTAAGGCACTTGTCTTGCACATGGATGACCCTGGCTAGATCTCTGACACCACATGTGGTTCCCTAAACCACACCAGGAGTGATTTCCAAGCACAGAGCCAGGAGTAAGCCTTGAGCACCTTTGAGTGTGGCCCCCCAAACCAAAATAAATACATAAATATAGGAATTGCTACCAAAAAGAGAGTGGCATAGAAGGTGCTAACAATTTATATTTAACTGGCATTATTGTTAGAATTATTTTTATTATTGCTCTTATTCTAGCACAGCGGGTAGGGCGTTCGCCTTACAAGCGGCCATCATGGCCGACCCGAGTTCGATTCCTCCGCCCCTCTCAGAGAGCCCGGCAAGCTACCGAGAGTATTCGATATGCCAGACACAGTAACAACAAAGTCTCCAATGGAGATGTTACTGGGCCCGCTCGAGCAAATCGACGATCAACGGGAGGGCCTTTATTTATTATTATTATTCTAATTCAGAGTAACCTTACTCTGACAACAATTCTTTCCGGATTTAGTTCCTTTTGCTTCTACATCTGAAATCTAGAGGTAGTCTCAACTGCCTGGTAAAATTAGTTTCAAAGACTTCCCTGGTGTCTGGGTCACTGTGGTCTTTAGGGGACGCCTTTGGACCTCTCCTTCCTTTATTACTTTTCTATGGAGAAGATGTGCTGTGGGATTATTGTCAAGATGTCTCCTGCAGATGGAGTTGGCTGCACAGTGTGAGAGCTCTCCAAGAGAAGTGGGTGGCTCTAAATGTGCAAATTCGCTTCCTTACGAAGACCAAAGGAAGACAGCTGTGCGTGGTGATTTGATCTCCAGATACTCCATGGATCAGAGGAGGCAAACTGAGCATGCCCCAAGCCTGATGTTAGTGAAGGCAAAGGAGAAGGAGCAGTGTGAGGAGCAGAGGAGCCCCCTCTACCTACCTTCGATGAGAAGCGTAATTGCCGGTAATGTGCCCAGAGCCGTCACAGCCAGGGGTGGGGCACCTACAATTAAAAATGCAAATTGAGTAATTTACTCAAAAGAAATAAAATCCCCTGTGTAAGTACTCTTTTTGGTTATCCAAAAAGTGATTTTTTTTTTTTAATGCTCAACCTCTTTACTTGAGAGGTGAGAAACTGAGCTGGAAGTTCCTGGCTTCTTAGTCACTGCCAGGCATAAACCTTTGATCACCTTCTTCCTTCTCAGCTCAAAGACCCTTTTCCGAAGGGTCATGCATTTCAGTAACTACTTTGGATTCAACAGGCTCTACTCACTAGGTCTATTGCTCTAGACCTTTGGTCAGTAGGATATTTACTCCAGAGTTGATCTCCTTCATATACTCCATATTTCCTTTCCTTATTATTAACTTCATCTTCAGCCAAGACCAGTTACAAAGGCACCAGACTAGCTAGGAAGCAAGATTAATGTGCAAGGAGATGGATACTCAGTGCTCTAAGAGTACTAGTGAACCCTCAAAACACCAGAGGCTTTAGGGGCTCATGTCTAACTGCCTCTTGACAATCCTACCTAACTGGTAGATCCATTTCCAGTGTGGGATGTACTGTCCCAGACTTTGAGAATGGGGTCAATCTTCTTTCAGACTTTTTGGGGGGCACTCACATAGGTCTAATGGGACTTAAATACTTACTATGTCTAAAGACTTGCATACAATGTAGATCTCTTATGATCAGCCAGGTGAAGTCGTCTGATATACTTTGGTCAGTTCAAGGGTTTTTCAATGCTTCATTTAAACCTGACTAGGAAACCTCATCCAGTTTCAAAGGACAACATTGTCATTTCTGTAATGGGAGGGCACATGCCGTGCACACACAAAATTTGCCCCCTATTGTCCTTCATCTAACTCCTTAACTATGCCATCTCAAGAGTTACCAGTTCACATGGCGAGGACATTGTTCTTTTAAGAATTTCAGTTGCAACTGATCCACCAGTGGCATAAACATTAAGGAAAAAACATTCTTCTTCTTTTTTTTTTTGAAAAGTGGAACTTTCTGAAAATAACTGGCTCCAGGGATTTAGTAAGTGATATCTGAACCTAATCATAACCTTTGATCATACCCTGAGGCCCCATTCCTATTCCCTGAGCACCTGAATTCCTAACAAGGTAAAAGAAATCAAAGGCTTAAATCTTTAATACATGTCTATTGCTTCTATGAGAGATGTCAGCTTCTACTCAGAAAGTCACCATGGATATTGGATGTGGAGACCAGGTCAGCAAGTGACTTCCTTTTTCTAACGACCCTCCTCAACACCAGCTCCAAGAGGGGCAGGGAGATGGAGAGAATGAAATTGGACTGCTGTCAAGAGTGTGAAAGCCATTTTGACATTTGGATAGGAAAACAACTTTTGGTACTTAGAAATTGTGGAATTTGCTTTTAGTCCTAAGTGTCAGACTGTGACTCTAGGTACCAGAGTATAGGAACTGTCCATTTTCATATCAAATAAAAGGCGAAAGCTTAATTTTCAGTTTGTTCTATGGGAGAATAAAAGAGAGAGTGAAAAGGCAATAGAGAAATGGTTGGTGTGCATAAGCAAAGTCAGGATTTTAAAAATAGCATCTTGAGGTACAGCAATGAAGTGTTTAAAACCGTATTGAGGTATCAAGAACAGCAATTCCAAATCTGAGGTTGACCGGATTATTGCTAAAGTAAGAGCCGTTTATGTACACTTAAAGTTCAATGGGAAGACTCTCCTGTCAACTGCTAAGTAGCTATTTTCTAAATAATAACTTAAATGACTAAATTTAAGAAGCTGATTTCCCTAATGATACCTCATGTGGATAAGCCTAAACCCAGAATGCTCACAGAGTCAGAAAAAATTGAAAGTAACAATAATAATTCCATCCAGAGAAGCTAGTCTCCATGTAAGTTTCTGTTTTGAAAATGTATCAAGAAACAGAAATGTTTCCTACTAGCCAATAACATATACTTGGCCTTACTTTTTGTGAAAAACCACCACCACCACCACCACCACCACCACCACCACCACCACCACCACCACCAAACTCTCAAATCTAAACACTTCCTAAATTAAGCACTTAGTACAAATCTATTTTAAAATAGATTCATTTTAACATGAGAAGATATATATATTTTTTCATTTTCTCTTATTGAGGGTGGAAGAAGACTGACATATTCTTTTCAAATTTAAAGCAAGGCATCGTCATCCAAATAATACAAGTAAAATCTAGATTCTATTATTTAAAAAGAGAAAGATTTAGAGTAGTTTTCAGGTGTTGAAGGAACTTATAAGTGCACCTTTGATTTGAAAAGACATGTTTCAAATGTCCTTTATACCATAACAAAATATTGAAATATTGATTTGGCATGCTTTCAGACCTTATATTGTTTGAGCAAAATAAAGAATATATAGCGAGCATATAAAGAGGTCTTTCTTTTTTGTTTTTGGGGTACACCCCACTATGCTTACTCAGGGCTCTGTGGGTCAGATTCCTTCAAGGCAAGCACCGTACCTGCTGTATTATTTCTCTAGTCGCTAGAGGCCTTTTAAACATTTTTTTTTTGTATGTTGGGTCACACCTGGCGATGCACAGGGGTTACTCCTGGCTTTGCACTCAGGAATTACTCCTGGCGGTGCTCAGGGGACCATATGGAATCCTGGGAATCGAACCCAGGTTGGCTATGTGCAAGGCAATTGCCCTATCCGCTGTGCTATCACTTCAGCCCCTTTTTTTAAAAAAAGATTTTTTAAAAATATTCCTGCCTTCCCCCATCTTCCCTGTTATGTGCATGGGATCAAATCTCATTCTTGCATCTCAGAATTAAATCTGCTAAGATTCATGCTTCTCTGGGGAGCTGAAACCAGGTCTGATGCATATGTGGAGGCTGGAGGAGAGGCCGGATTTGCTGAGGGCTCTGTGTGGTCTCTGGCTTAGAGACTCTGCTTTCTGCCCTGTTCTGAGGATGCTGAGCTGACTCAATACCTCCTGCAGTGATCTCTACCTAGGAATCTCCAAGGTACCCCAGTCTGCTATTAACTTCCTTCCAGAATAACCTCTTTTGGAGAAAGTAGTTTGGCATTCTCATCTCTAGGTAGTGCTCTGGATCACAGCCGGAAGCCTAGTGGGGCATCTCTATTCTTTTTTTCTCAAGGAGGCAGGTATACATTTTACATAATGTTCAAGACTTTCAGGCTTTCAAAAAAAAAAAAAAAACTCTTAGATTTACCTACAGATTTTCTCGCTTTAAGAAATCTTGACAAAAAAATCTCTCAAAAAGTACCATTTTTCTGAAGTCAGTGAATGGGGAAGTGATTATTCCCGGAACCAAAGAGGCCTTGGCTTCTCAGCTGGAGCAGTAGCTCCAGGACCCTTGATAACAGGCGCTGTAAAATCGACTCACAAAAATTCGATTTGCATCTACCCTTCTAAGAGCACATCTTTTCCATGAAGGGAGGCCCATGTGGGATAATCAAAATTCCCCATGGATAAAATCAGACCGCAGCATGCGCTGCACAGCTTGGGTTCGGAGATGGCAGAGAGATTGACTGGGTTTCCATGGAAACTGCCTGGAAGGCAGACCCAGGTTGACAGCACAGAAGTGCCACGTAAAAGCACAGGGCTTAGCTGTCTCCTGACTTCCCTGTGGCCACACAAACCACCGTGCCAAGTCTATTTTAAGTTCCTACGGTTAGTGATGTAAAGTTAAGTTAAAGAAAATGTGTGCTTCATGGGCTTTGTTCTCTTTTACTCCAAAAGGGTTATTGGTAAAATCACTCTGAATAAATAATTCTGGACACTCCATGGGTTGCCTCCTGGATATATTTAAGAGAGAAATATTTATGAATTCCTCATTTTTCTTAGGACTTGCATTAACTTTGGGATTTAAGTAATATCAAAAGAAAATGATTTTTGGTATGGCATCATATTATCTGGCTGGAAAAATTGGCCTTGGATGGCACTGAAAGATGATGATGGACAATCAAATAAAGTTTTTTCTTTTTTTGATTTTGGGGTCACATCCAATAGTGTTCAGGGCTTCCTCCTAGCTCTGTGCTCAGGAATCATTACTGGCAATGCTCCAGGATCATGTGGCATCGGGAGTCAAGTTCCTGTGCTAGTTCTCTGGACCCCATAATAAAATATTTTAAACATTATTAATATTTAAATGTTCTAAACAGGGTTTAGTCTGGCAGGATTTAGGAAGCTTCAAGGAAGAAAGAAAGAAAGAAAGAAAGAAAGAAAGAAAGAAAGAAAGAAAGAAAGAAGCCAGGACCACTCAGTCAGGTCATTTGATTTTGATTACTTGGAAGCAGCCCTTTTGGAATAGGAACCAGTTAAGTTTCTGCTGCCTTTGCACATATAAAACATCAAAGAGTCCCCCAAGCCTCCCTGAACCACTTTTATGCTCTCACAGCTTTCTCCTTGTGATTTATCACCAGAAGAAACATTTGGTCTGGACCTAGAGAGGAATCCTCCCTGATCACATCTACAGGGAAGTCATGAGACTGAAAAAGGAGCTTAATGTTCATGCACAAAATATGAAAAGACAAAAGCTGTATGACTCTGGCACATGTTACAAAGATGTGAAGCCCCACCACCTTGCTTTTCAAGTTAGCTGCTTATTTGTCCTTCCCTAAGACATAGCACCTACTTTTATCTTTATTTCTCCCCTTTGAAAAATCTCAACACTGACACAGGGTAGCACTGTCTGCACTGTCCTCCCGTTGTTCATCAATTTGCTCCAGCGGGCACCAGTAATGTCTCCATTGTGAGACTTGTTGTTACTGTTTTTACTGTGGCATATTGAATACACCACAGGAAGCTTGCCAGGCTCTGCATGTGGGCAGGATACTATTGGTAGCTTGCTGGGCTCTCCGAGAGGGGCGGAGGAACCGAACCCAAGTCAGCCGCATATAAGGCAGATGCCCTACCTGCTGTGCTATCGCTCCAGCCCTGACACAGGGTAGCAAAAAGCAAAATCTATAGACTGAAGTTATGTTATTGCTTAATTATTCATGAGAATAT